AAAAAAAAAGGAAAAGGCGGGAGGACGACAGCGATAAGGACATGTCCTATTTCCCCTCAACACGCGTGCCCACCAACCCTCCGCAAACGTACATGTAACAAGATTGTCCCAGCTCCCCTTCCCACCCTTGGAGCGAGGCATGACGTGGTCGAGGGTCAAATCGTGTGCGCTCAGGCGCTGGCTGCAGTAGGCGCAAGAATACCGGTCTCGGATGTAGATGTTCCGACGATTCAAGGGGGGGGGGCGCTCCCGGCAACCCTTCTGGTACTGCTTGAGGCATACAACGGAAGGGAGCTGCCAGGGGCCGGCAGTGGATTGAATGTAAGAATCGTAGTAGGCGAGGACGGTGACTCGCTCCAGGAAAATGGCTTTGATGGCCTGAAGGGGAGGACCGAGGGAAGCGAGGTGAGAAATAAGGAGGCGGGTAAAAGCTAAGAGAAGACGCTCTATACGTCGACCTGAGTTGATGTATGTGATCACAGCGGTTATGATACTAAGGCCCCCCGAGCCCCCGACATCGTACCTCCTGCCACCGGATAATCGACAGGGGGAGGTAACTGAGCGGTTGGGCGTCCGTGTTCAAGACAAGGACAGGGTATTTGCCCGTCTGTCTCAACAGTCGGAGCTGATGGTCAGTGGTGTGGTCTTCGTCCCCCCCCACGGTCCCGACGCTGCCGCTAACGCCCTTCCTGCTGGTCGCCGTCTTGGGGCCGGCGTTCTTGTCAGTGGGCGGAAGTAGCTCCATCTCGAAGTCTGGACCGCCCAGACCGAAATCCGCACGAGTGGCGCTGTCCGTGGGCTTCTTCATGTGCTTTGCATGACGCTGGGCCTGCCCCTGTGCCAAAAAAATGGAAGATTGAAGCGAAGATTCAAAGCGACGTACCCGGGGAATTAAAAGAATGCTTTGACATTCACGTACCTCGTCCTTGCGAGATTTTTTCTTGCTCGTGCTAACAGAGAGCGCGGGTGATGTCTTGGAAGACGGAGGGCTCGCTCCTCCCCCGGTTGTCTTCTTTTTCGCAGCGGCGAGACGAACAGAAAGCGCGGGTGCTCCGCCTGCTGGCCTTCTCTCCTCGCTGTCGAATGCCGGCGCATGCACCACAGAAAGCCAAGGGCTTGTGCCCGGAGGAATTATAAATGCTTTCGTACAAGATAAAGTGCTAACAAAAGCAACCAGCGCGACCGTCCCAAGAAGGCCGGCACGATTTTCAGGGCGAGCCATTGTCTTTGTAACAAGAACAAGACCGTTCTCCCTCAACTCACGCCCTCCCTCTCGTCCTTGCAGAAATGTGCCCAGAGCGTCTGCGAACGGTGCACGGGGTTCTCGCACACTGCCCAACCCTTTCTTCCTCGCTCCCTGTGTAATGTGGAAACCGTGCCGGACGCCATCCGGTGTCAGGGGACGAAGCGGAGGTTTTGCATGCACGTTGGGGCGCAACCGATTCCTAAGCGAGGCGCTAGCGAGGTCAGCGAGGACGCATAACCTGTCCATTGTATGCCCACCGTCCGCACTTGTTGACCCTCTCGCTCACGCACACATCCATCATCACATCGTGGAATGACAGTCAAGGGGGGCTTGGAGTCATTGCGTGCCAACTTGCCGAGCCGAAGGGATCATTCACCATCAGGCACGAACATTCGTGGCGGCAAAAATATCCCAGATCCGGCCTAGGATGGATTTTGCTCTGGTTCAAGAATGGGAGCGGGAGGAGTCGCAGCGTGGCACGCCCTCGACCAATCCTGATGGGAGAGTGGTGTGCACCGCAACAAAAAGAAGACGGCCATTCCAAGCAGGAGACATGGTCGTTGTAATGGAACGGCATGACAGTTATTCACACGTGTACCTTGAGCCAGGGGGCATGTTTCAGAATCGTTTAGGGCATTTCCACCACGACGACATCATCGGGAAACACGTTGGCGCAAAGGTCATGTCCAGGTCCGCAGGTGGGCGATTTATACGCTTGCTATTGCCCTCTCCGGAGCTGTGGACGATGAGCATCAAGCAGCGCACACAGATTGTTCAAGACCTGGATCAGAGTATGGTTGTGTTTAAGCTTGGTCTGCGGCCAGGCATGCGAGTCCTGGAGTCTGGAACGGGCTCTGGGGCAATGTCACATGCAATTTTGCGCAGTATCAGTCCACATGGGCACTTACACACATTTGAATTCAATGAGGCACGAGCGATAGACGCACAAGTGGATTTCGAGAGGAATCGAGTGAGCCATTTGGTGACGGTGATGCACGGAGACATATGCCAGGATTTGAGTCTGTCAGATGAAGAGAGCACTATTGTATGTACCTCTGCGCACATGGAGACGGAAAGTGACGGTAAGGATCCACTGGGTGAGCATA